ATCAATTTAGAAGAATTGGTCCTAGATTCATTCTACCATGTTTTTGGAAGGCATGAAATCATCTATTTTGGGCTTATTATGATGCAACAAGAAACATACAGGAGGAATTCTATGTCTGATCATTTTTGTTGATTAAAAGGAATCTAAAAGAATAACATTTTAAAGCTATGGTTTTTAGACTAAATATCTAAATGTATGAATGGAGCTCCACAGATATCAATTCAATACTGCTTCCTTGAAATGTAATGATCAATATGGAATCATATATATATGTGTGTGTGTGTGTGTGTGTGATATGACCTACATTGCAGTGTGGATTTATTATATTTACTTAAATCTTCTTGTAGATTTTATTAATAAGAATGAAAAATGAGAGCTCACAATAAAATTTGTGCGAATATAACAAATTCTGCTATAGAAGTAGTTGTGCAAACCATGTACACACATACATAAACAAATTTCTTGTAGTCTAATCCACCCTAAAATTATTAGTGTTCACTGTTCCTAAATTATTACCTTGAAGAGGAATTCTATCTTTTTTGGAAGTGGGGTTAAGAGTGAGGCTCATTAGGTTGAGGAATCAACTTTTACAGAAGTATGGGCAAGAAGAAGCCAAATAATCCCAACGAAATGGTTTAATGATTAAAAGTTTGAGACTTGAAATTAGAAATTTCAAGTTCGAGTCTTGAGTTGGATGAGAAGAGATTTGGGAATAAAAGAGGGCTATCTCATCTTGTATAACATATAATCAGATATACACAAAAAAAAAAAAGAAGATAAAAGTAGATAGAGATGACAATTTCTCCCAACCCTAGGGGCCCACAAGAATCCCTACCATAGGGGTAGAGAAAGAGAAGCATTTTCTTCTTATGAAATCTTACAAGAAATTTTCTTTACTCGTGAATCTATACGGGGATCTTGTTCTCATAAATAAAATAGTAAATATTTAATTTATAATTATAAGTATACTCATTACTCATTTTTTATTTTAATTCAATACTAAAATTTAATTATTTTAAATTAAAGGAAAATTAATATTTTATTTTGGTTTAATTCAACTGTTTAAAATATCTTTTTAAAAAAATAATGAAATTAATTTTATAGTATAATTGATAGAGGCAGAAATCCTCGCAAGAATGCATTCCTCACAAATAATAAGAAAGGAGGTCAAATTCAACTACTTATTAAAAATTCTCGTGAAATTCTCTATCCTGATTAGCAAAGATGAGATGGAGAGAGACTCTTCAAGCTACGGGGCAGTTGCCTTCTTCCTAAAGGCAGGGCAACAAGAGCAGGAGCACATACTTCGAACAACCCTTTCTCTCGTGAATATAATTTAATATTAATAATGGAATTCAGCCCAAAGGATAGGATAGGCCCAACTCCAAACGTTCAACCCACTTGCGGTTGGACATAATTGTAAAAGAATTGACCTTAAAAAAGGGGAGAAAAGTGTTATTTCCAAAAGAATCAGTTCAAAAAGAAATTCTGCAGAGATATAGGTAATTTATCAAAAGGCTTAATTAATTTTATTTAATTTGATAATTAAAAATAATTAATAATTAAAAAATAATTAATATCTATTAT